AATGTAAACTCTTTGGCTGTTGTTTTAACCAAGGTGAGCGCGGCCCTTGCGGCGGACACAATATTCGTTGGCCACAGACGTGCGAAACAAGTTGACTGGGATCGCCGCTCGTTGCAGGAATTATAACCCCAGCCGTGGTCTGCGCGCCAACATTGAAAGCAAGAGTCAACTTGTTGCAAAAAAAAAAAAAAAAAACAGACAAAAACCCCCGTGTAACAAAACTCGACACCAATCGGCACGCGCGCCAACATGCCGTCCAAGACGGGTACAAAGCTGTCCATCCTGGGCATGCTCGATCTGCTCCCCGGCGTCGTCTCAATCGTCGCCGCCGGCCTGCTTGCCGTGCTGACGGGCCTGTTTCGGAGCCAAAAAGACGCGCCCAGCCTGCATCTTCACATTGCCTACGCCGTGTTGCGCAAGGCCACGACCAGACTGACGCCTCTTCAACTGCAGTGAGCCCGGCGTCCCCTCCCTCCGCGCACCTGTACAAGCTTCTCACGCTCCCTCCCAGATTCGTCTCGCCCCTGACCGACGTCGTGTACAAGCAGTATGCGCGCTCCGCCAAGATCAAGCCCGAGACGGTAGCCCTGGGAGCCGGCGCCCACGGCCACTGGCTCGGGAACAAGGACGCGGCCAACGTCCTGGTCTGGTACCACGGTACGTGCCCTGTTTGTTTTCCCTCCCACTTGAACCGAATGGCTGACGACACGCCCGACATCAAGGCGGCGGCTTCTGCCTGCCCGCCAACCTGGGATACTTCAAGTTCCTGCAGAGCCTGGTGGCATCGTCGCAGCGGGCGGGCCAGGACCTGGCCGTCTTCGTGCTGACCTACTCGCTGGCCCCGGGCGCGGCGTACCCGACGCAGCTCACGCAGGCCGTCGAGGCGCTGCGCTACATCCTCGAGGACACGGGCCGCACGCCGGCGCAGGTTCTCATCGGCGGCGACTCGGCGGGCGGCAACCTCGTCATGGGCGTGCTGTCGCACCTCGCCCACGGGCACCTGGCCATCCGCAAGCTCGACGTGGCCGAGCCGCTCGCCGGCGCCGTCGGCATCGCGCCCTGGACCCTGATCGGCGAGGACCACAGCGGCCGCGACATTTACCACGGCGGCGACCTCATCACGCCCGCCGTCGACGGGCCCTGGTCCCGCGCCTTCCTGGGCGCCGCCGACAAGGACTACTTTACGAGCGCGTCGACGGCGCCCCGGAGCTGGCTCGCCGCCTTTCCCGTCAAGCGAGTCCTGATACTCGGCGGCGGCAATGAGATCCTGCTGCCTGCCATTGAGGAACTGGCAGACAACCTCAAGGTACGTCAAGTCAAGTTGTTTTTGCTCGTCGCCAAAAAAAACCAGTTCCCTGCGCTGACACGGGCACCAGGCCGCGCTGCCCATCGTCGAGTTGTTTATAGGACACCGCGAAGCCCACGTCGCTCCCGTGTACAACATCTACGTTGGGGACAATACAGAAACACTGCAGGGCAAAAAGATCAAGGCGTGGTTGAGAGAAATATTATAGCTTGCATTGCCAGTGCGCCGGTTGTGATGCACCGTTGTTGCGCGCCCATTTGCGCCATCTCAGTCTATATAATGAAACGAACCTTTCATCACAAATGTAGCCGCCCAGTGAGACTAGCACGTTTCTAAATTTTGAAAGCAACCAGATAGCTCTATATTTTCATTTTCCTCATTTCGCTCGTCTCATGCGAGATCCATGGCCCTGCTCCCTCCGACCGCTTCTTTTCTCCGCTCTTTTTTTCTTGGGGGAAAAAAAAAAAGTAGACCAAACTTGTTGCACGGCATCTGGTCAACTGAGCCATGCCAAGGGCGTCGAACCGACCTTAAATCTTACTTGGGGAGAGACGCTTTGCCGGCTGCACGGCTGGTGGCCAGAGCTCCAGACAGGCCGAATTGTGATCCGACGCCGTTGATGCGGTGGACCGAGTTGAGGTTCTTCACGACAAGGATCTGGAAGCACGTGGCACTTCCCTGGCGGGAGGCAATGACGGACCAAGCGAGGAAAAGCTCCCAAATCTGCACCCTTGTCAGTCGCTGCATCGGGGGATAAAAAAAAATTGGACAAGGGGTCAACATACTCTGTACCAGCGCTGGCCGTACTTGGCCGTGATGGCATCGCCGTTTCCTACCCAGTTGCGGTACCAACGCCAGAGAGTGGCGGAATAGTGCACGCCGACGGTATCCACGCTGTATTTTTTTGGTCAGTTTTTGTTTGCCTCCCATATTTGCCTCCAAAGACGGGCGTCACGAACCTCTTGACCTCGAAGCCCGCGCTCTCGAGCGACCGGACGTAATTCCACAGGGGTGTCGAAGCATCGGCGCCTCGGAAGATGTACTTGTTGAGGAACAGGCCCCAGATGAAATCCTCATACTGCCAGGCCTGTCGGAGACCAGACAGCTGAACGTACATGGCGCCGTCGTCCTCGAGCATGTCGTAGCACTGGCGGAAAAAGGTGGTGAGCTTTCGAACGCCGACGTGCTCGCCCATTTCGAGCTGCGAGATCTTGTTGTACTTTTGCTTGGGGGCGTCGCGGTAGTCCATGCACAGAATCCGGCTCTGCTCCTCAGGAACGCCCGCGTTTCTCAGCACGTCATTGCCCCAGGCGGCGCCATTCTCGGCAATGGTGATGCCGGTAACCTTTGCTCCGTAGTTTACACTGGCAAACTTGGCCAGCGTGCCCCAGCCCGACCCAATGTCCAAAAGGGTCTCGCCCTCCTTGAGCTCGAGCTTCTCGCACACAATGGCCATCTTGTTGTCCTGGAGCTCCTCCAGCGTCTCTTCACGCGTCGTGTCCGAGATGATGCCGCTGGTGTAAATCATGCGGGGGCCGAGGAACCAGGCATAGTGATCGTTTCCGGAATCGTAGTTGGGGCGGATCTGCTCCATGTCCTGGTCCTTGGTGTGGAAGAGCACGTCGGGCCCAAAGGTGAGCAAAATGTACTTGAACAGATCCCAGGTGAAGCTAAACTTGGACCAGTCGTGGCGGTACTCGAGCACGTCCAAGACGTCGCCCTTGAAATCAGCCTTGCCATCAATGTACATTTCCGAAAAAGTCTGGATGGGCACTTTGTTGGCTCCGCTCCACTTGGCCTGGTCGGCGGCATCCTTGAAGGTCACGTACGACTCAACGGGGCGGCCAGGCAGCTTGACATGCTCATTGATGCGCGGGCTAAAGTTGGACATGTAGGTCCAGTAGGCAATCAGAATGGGGAAAAGCGTGAGAATGCCAAAGAAGACGGTCGTCTTGAGGCCGCCGCCCACGAAGCGGCTCAGGAAGTAGGGCACGCCCACCAGGAGGACTCCCAGAACAATGTTGGAGAAGCCCTCGCTCCCGGCGCCCTCGGCCGGCAGAGGGGCATTGTGGATGGACGGAGACTTGAATTGCAGTTAGCACAGGGCCATTGAGGTGGTTTCGTGGGCAGGGAGGGAGGGAGTCTGGAAGAAAATTTACGTGAGTGATGGGCACGCCACAATCGACCGCCTCAAAGGCAGACGGCGCCGCCTTGGGCGTCTTGATGTAGGTGATGTCACCCTCCAGGTCCGGCTTGTTCTTCATGGCTGCAGAGTGCGTGAGACGAAGAAGAGGTGCAAAGACAAAAAAAGACCTCGAGCAGCAGTCCAAGGTTGACGTCAAGGTCTGATGAGCCCTGGTACCGACGTTGATGAAAGGGGGTTGAAGCAGGCCCCAGCAAAAATCCCCCCTTGGCTTTGGCAGCGGTTTGCAAGACATTGACAGGCTGGCACCAGGCAACGCACAACAAATTGATGAGCCCCACTTGCCCATCACCAAGCGAAGCAGCTTTCAGCCTCGCGATTGATGGCCGCGTCTGTGGAGACGGACGGAGAGGTGCGGTGCCATGCCGGATGCTCACGTGACATGGACCACAGCCACCCGCCCGCGGCGTGCGAGGGAATTGGTCGCACATCCCACCGCATCTCCTACCCTAAATACCTTGCATGATTGGCCTCACTTTGCGCAGATGTCGCTCATGGACATTTACATGTCCTCTGGTAGATCCTGTCATGGCCGTCATTTTTGCCGACACTCGTCTTGGCGACTTTTGCAGGGATTCAGTGGCGCTGGAAACGAAATGTCAACGACAATGTTGTTGACTGGGTAGGGAAAGCGGAAATGGCCAAGCTTGAAGCCATCAACGGCTGAGGCCCCTTGGGCTGCTGCTACACTCAATTAGAAGCCCGAGCTTTTTGGCCGGGTCAATCGAAGCTGCTACAAGGCCAGCTGTTATAGCCATCAAATTTATCACATCTTTCATTCATTTTGCCCTCCGGCGGTCGCCTGCAGCGGACGAGCTTTCACGATTCACGCGGTTTACGATACACTTGCCAGTGAGTAGCTTCAGCCACCTTTTTATCAACGAGTTGCTGATGACATGTCTTGACCAAATCAGATACTTGGGGACGGCCTCATGTGAGAAAGCCAGCAGCAACAACCAACTTACGCTAGCCAAGTTCATGGCAAGGCACTCAAAGAGCTACCAGTGACCCCTTGTCCCTGGCATCCGTTGCCTTTGCCGAGGGGCAAATCCAAAACAGCTACGACAGTGATCGGCAGAAAAAACACATGCTAGCCCAGTCGATGTAACTTGGGCAGCTGAGCTGCGTGACGAAAGGAAAAACCGCCACAACTACCAACACAGCAACAAACACTGCCGACGGCTACAAACCGGGCATTTGTTGTTTCAAACTTGTACTACGGAGTACAATCTGCCCACGGCAGGCTCCACGCGGCCCGGCCAGTTCGAGTGCACAGATGTATTGCCGCAGCTCAGAAACCATGTCCTTTGCGTGCCTTGGGCGGATTCCTGGGATATAGCCAGGGTTGAATCGCGAGAATAACTGATTCTATTATTTTGGCTTCGACAAGCCTCTATGTGGCAACTAGCAAAAAGGAAAAAAAATACACTTGGTATACTGTGGAATTAATTACACGAGTCTCCAGGACTCGGATGACATGTCCGGCAGCCTCTACAGAGCCAGAGCGAGCCACGCAGCGCCTCCCAGGACGCACTCAACAAGGCCGAAACTGAACCTGTCCGCTGCAGCCGTAACGACTGGAGGCGAAGTAGGTCTCGTACAGTCGATTCCGGTGCCATTTACAATGGGGCACGGCATTCCTTGCGACGGGGTCGTCGTGACGCCTGGTTTGGGTGGACTTGCACTGCAGTCGCCTTCACCGCCAGTACAGCCTGGAGGGACACCTGGGGTAGTGGGCTCGGGCTGAGGCTTGGTCTGGGTGCAATCGTCGCCGCTTCCCGGAGTACACGGTGTGGGAGGCACTCCGGTGTTTGTTGGAACGGGCGGGTTGGGGAAGCAGGAGCACACTGAGCTGACGCCCATGCTGACAGACGTGGCAGACTCGGGCGGACAGGCAGTCGAGACACATTGTTGCACAAGCATGGACAACTGTTCCTGCGAGCCGGGCTTGCAGAAGCACCCAAAGTCCTTATCACTGCATCCGACCTGGGAGCCAGCCGAGGAGAAGCAGCCGGTGGCGCATGGGGGGATGGCAGTGGTGACGTCGATGCATTCTGTGATCGTCGGTGTGGTCGGCGGTGCAGTGGTTGGCGTGGGTGGCGGCAACGTGACCGGGGGAGGGCTGTTATTGGGTGTTGTTTTGGTGATGAAGCTGCTCTCTGGGCCTTTGGGAGGCGTCGTATCCGGAGGAGGAGATGTCTCGTTGGGAGGTGTAGTTTCCGGGGTAGGGGTGGTCTCGTTGGGAGGTGTAGTTCCTGGAGGAGAGGTTTCCTTGGGAGGCGTTCCCGGGGTAGCAGGTGTGGTCTCCTTGGGTGGTGTTGTTCCCGGAGGAGGGCTCGTCTCTGTCTCGGGAGTTGTAGCTGGGGGAGGAGGAGTTTCCTTGGGAGGCGTTGTTTCCGGGGTAGGGGTAGTTTCTGTAGGTGGTGCCGGGGGAGAAGTTTCTTTGGGAGGCGTCGTTTCCGGAGTGGGGGTGGTCTCCTTGGGCGGCGTTGTTTCCGGAGGAGGGCTCGTCTTTGTCTCTGGAGGAGTTGTCTTTGTCTCTGGAGGAGTCGTCTTTGTTTCTGGAGGAGTCGTTTTTGTCTCTGGGGGAGTCGTCTTTGTTTCTGGGGGAGGTGTACTTGGTGATGATGTCTCTGGAGGAGAAGAAGTCGTCGAAGGGGAAGTTTGGGATTCGGGCGGCGGCACAGAAGTTGATGGTGGTGGCTGAGTCTCGGTGGTTTTCTGTTTTTTTGCGGACGCATCACACACTTTAGCTCCCGGCCTCGAGTTGATATTTGCGTCATGGAAAAGGGCCTCACCTTGCACTTGTCCTTGAGGAAAAACTCGAGCTTCTTCTTCAAGTGGCTCTCAAGCTTCAGGCCGCCAACAAACCCGGCAATGCTCTCCGCTTTATCCACCAACTTGCACAAGAAGGCAATCTTTTGGGCCTTGAGGCCTAGGAGCCCGCCGGAAGAAATATCTCCAAGGATTTCGTCAAGGCCCAGCGTTCTCTCTTGGAGAATGCCACTATTGGGTGGCTGAAAGTTTCCTTGAACGGCGGCCGAGGCCAGTCCAAGGACCAGGGTGAGAACCAATGGCCGCATTAGGGTGACGCAGGAGGTCGTATTCTGCGTGAATTATACAATGGACTTGGGACTCCTGGGCTCGAGGGCAGTGTCGACAACTACACACGCCTTGTGTTGCCCTTTGTTTTATTTTTATTTTTATTCTTAATTTTTTTTGGACGACTCGACACAGGATCATTTTATAAATCCCCAGACCAGACGCATTCCACAGCTAATTCCCATCTGCAGACATGTATCAAACACGCGCGATTCATCGACTCGTTTGGTTCGTCTCCGTTGTTCGTCCCGAAGGGATTGTATATACTGGATGAAACTGGCCTTTGCAGCGGACAGAGTTGCACGCAGGCCATGGTGAGACTTTTCGTCTGGGCTAGGGATTCGGGCGATAGAAATCTGGCCATGGCAACTGCATCAAGGAGCACAAGGCACGGTCGGATGCGCCGAGCACAAGCTGAGGATAAAACAGTGGTAGGACTGACGGGCAGATTGATCAAGACTGTGCCAAGTGCGCTAAGAGATCCGTGTCAGGTTCGTGGAGCCGTTCCCTCGACTAGCCAGGAACAGGCGTTCGCACTAGCTGGCGGTTTTTCCTGTTCCTTACCATGCCTGGACGTCCAAGCGTTCGGGACATCGGATATTTCTGCAGGCTGGGCCCACGCGCGAACCTTAATCGGCCCAGGAACGGGCGCCCGAGAGCAGTTCGGTGGCGCACAGCGAGGCTATATTTGCAGCTCGGGACCGGGATCTGCCATCGACACCAGATCGCGGGCGCCCGGTCACGAGCGATGGCCCAGCCCTTGCCATCCTTCCAATCTTACCTAGTGTTTCAGGCCTGGCCATGCGTTGCTGCGAGAGGGCCCTAGTATAATCGGATTGAAGCGATCGCGGGCTTTGTTTCCTTGGATTTAGACTTTGCGCAGGCATCGGCACCCAGGGCGGGCTGCTCGACGCCCAATTTGGCAACATGATGGTAAACATGGAGCCAGTCACACCCACCGCATCGAACGGTATCCTGGTCCAGCGCCATGAGCTCACCGTACTCGGCGTCGAAGGACTGAGCTGAGATTGTGCAGCTCGAGTCTGTGCGATGACTTCATGGCCGCTATTTTCGACTAGAAGAAAAGATAGCATGCAAACAAGTCTTTTCGCCGTGCTTTTTCAGCATATATATATATTCCCTTGTCGTTGCGTTCTGGTTGCCGGAAACTCATCTGTATAATTCACATTTGCCAACACGGCACATTCCTCTCGCTTCCACCCCCCCCCGAACCTTGCTACATTCGTTTCGTTAGATAGTTCGCCATGGTGCGGTCTCTGATCGTGGCCGCGCTAGCCGCTGGCTTCGCCAATGTGGCTCTGGCACACAACATTGAGGTGCCCCCTTGCGGCCAGGAATGCAAAACGCTTGAATACGTTGGCTGTGTCAAAGATGGCAACCCCTCGGCCCTCATCATGCGATCGAACCAAGATCAGGGCCAGATGACGGTTGAGAAGTGCGGTGCCGTCTGTAAGGGTGTGTTTGGCCTCTATGCTTCCCCGACAGTTCGTGTCACAGGAACGAAACGCTTACATGTTTTACACTAGGAAATGGTTTCCGATACGCTGGCCTCAAGTACTATGGCATCTGCTTCTGTGGCAACACCCTGGGCGGCTCGCCCGCAGACGAGGGCTCATGCTCGTATCCCTGCAGTGGAAACAACGCTCAAAAGTGTGGAGGAGACTCGACGCTGTCCGTCTGGGAGGACAAGACCTACCCCAAGAAGCCCGAGGAGGTCTCTGGTGATGATTACAAGGCTATTGGCTGCTACACTGACGACACAAACAAGGGAAGGACCCTGTCCTGGCCCGTCAACGTCGACTCGGCTTCCATCACACCCTCGTCATGTATCGCTGCCTGCAAGGCCAACGGATTTGCCTATGCCGGAACCGAGTTTGGAGGTAGGGCCCCATCGTTCGAAACAAGCTTAAAAACATCTTTTTTATCTCACGCGCTAACATTCTACATCAGGTGAATGCTGGTGCGGCTCTTTCCTGAACCCGGCCACCCAGGCTGTCGATGCCTCGCAGTGCAACATCCCTTGCCACGGAGACAGCTCTGTATCTTGCGGCGGCCGCGGTCGTTTGACCGTGTACGAGGCCAAGGTGCTCATTTCTACCGAGCCTTGCATCCCCGTGCCGCCCCCCGTCTCTACTTCGGTCGCACCGCCTGCCTCTACCGCCGGCCCTGGCACATCTGCAGCATCATCCGCCCCAGGCTCCTCTGGCGCCCCCGGATCAAGCGTGCCCGCTTCCAGCAATTCCGGTGTACCTACTCTTCCCGGAACGGGTGTGCCGTCTGAGTGCTCTGCCCCGCCTACTGTCACTGTCACCGTGACGCCGTCTTCCACTGGCCCTGTGCCTACTGGACCTGCTTCATCGGGTCCCGAGTCTAGCGGTCCGGGTTCGACTGGTCCTGGCTCGACTGGCCCGGCTTCGACTGGACCAGAGTCTAGCGGTCCTGCTTCAACTGGCCCTGCCTCTACCGGCCCTGCTTCGACTGGCCCAGAGTCCAGCGGCCCTGCTTCTACCGGTCCAGCTTCTACCGGTCCCGAGCCCAGCGGCCCTGCCTCAACTGGCCCTGCCTCTAGCGGTCCTGGTTCAACTGGGCCTGCCTCGACTGGACCGGCTTCCACCGGTCCTGAGCCCAGCGGCCCTGCCTCTACTGGCCCTGCCTCTACCGGTCCTGCTTCAACCGGCCCTGCTTCCACTGGCCCTGAGCCCAGCGGCCCTGCTTCCACCGGTCCTGAACCCAGTGGCCCAGCCTCTACCGGTCCCCAGTCCTCCTGCCCTGCTTCAACTGGACCTGCTTCCACGGGTCCTGAACCCAGCGGCCCAGCTTCAACCGGTCCTGAGCCTAGCGGCCCAGCCTCTACCGGTCCCCAGTCCTCCGGCCCTGCTTCAACTGGACCTGCTTCCACGGGTCCTGAACCCAGCGGCCCAGCTTCAACCGGTCCTGAGCCTAGCGGCCCAGCCTCTACCGGTCCCCAGTCCTCCGGCCCTGCGTCAACTGGCCCAGCTTCCACTGGCCCCGAATCGACTGGCCCCGTGCCAACTGGCCCGGTTCCCACCACTACGCCAGCTACTTGCACAACCGTCGTGACCGGCAGTGACTGTGGACCTGCTCCCACTACCGCTCCTAACCAGTCCACTGGTCCCTACACCTCTGGCCCAGTTCTTCCCAGCAGCGTAGTTACATGCACAAAGACGTTGACTGGTAGCGATTGCCCGCCTGCTCCTACCGGAACTGGTCCTGTGCCTACCGGTCCCGAGACCACTGGCCCTCAGCCTTCTGGCCCCGAGACTACTGGTCCTCAGCCTTCTGGCCCCGAGACTACTGGTCCTCAGCCTTCGGGTCCTGAGACTACCGGTCCCGTGCCTACCGGTCCTCAGCCTTCTGGCCCCGAAACCACCGGCCCCCAGCCTTCCGGCCCCGAGACCACCGGTCCTGTCCCTACTGGTCCCCAGACTACTGGCCCTCAGCCTTCTGGCCCTGAGACCACTGGACCTCAGCCTTCTGGCCCTGAGACCACTGGTCCTCAGCCTTCCGGCCCTGAGACTACCGGCCCCCAGCCCTCCGGTCCTGAGACCACTGGTCCTCAGCCCTCTGGCCCCGAGACCACTGGACCTCAGCCTTCCGGCCCCGAGACCACTGGTCCTCAGCCTTCCGGCCCTGAGACTACCGGCCCCCAGCCCTCCGGTCCTGAGACCGGTCCTGTCCCTACCACCACGCCTGCTACTTGCACAACTGTGCTAACTGGCAGCGACTGCGGACCTGCTCCCACTACCGCACCAGGCCAGTCTACTGGAATGGGATCTTCCCCATCGGGCCCGGCTCCTACAGGCCCAGCTCTGACAAGCACGGTTATTACATGCACCAAGACATTGACTGGAAGCCAGTGCCCACCTGCTCCCACTACCACGCCCAACCAGTCTACTGGACCCGAGACTACCGGCCCTGCTCCTACCACGACACCAGAGACTACCGGCCCTGAGACTACTGGTCCTCCCGAGACCACTGGCCCAGAAACCACGGGCCCTCCCGAGACTACTGGTCCCGAGACTACTGGTCCTCCCGAGACTACCGGCCCTGCTCCTACCACGACACCAGAGACTACCGGCCCTGAGACTACTGGTCCTCCCGAGACCACTGGCACAGAAACCACGGGCCCTCCCGAGACTACTGGTCCCGAGACTACTGGTCCTCCCGAGACCACTGGCACAGAAACCACGGGCCCTCCCGAGACTACTGGCCCTGAGACCACTGGTCCCCCTGAGACTACTGGCCCAGAAACCACTGGCCCTCCTGAGTCTACTGGCCCAGAAACCGGTCCTCCCGAGACTACTGGCCCTGAGACCACTGGTCCCCCTGAGACTACTGGCCCAGAAACCACTGGTCCTCCTGAGTCTACCGGACCCCAGACTACTGGCCCAGTTCCTACTACCACGCCTACTATTTGCACAACCGTCGTAACTGGTAGCGACTGCGGACCTGTTCCTACAGCTCCTGGCCAGTCCACTGGACCTAATCCTACCGGCCCGGCTCCTACCATCATTACATGCACAAAGACTTTGACTGGTAGCCAATGTCCTCCCACACCTACCACCACACCTGGACAGTCCACCACACCCGAGACTACCGGCCCTGTTCCCACAACCACACCCGGACAGTCTACCGGACCCGAGACCACCATCCCGGTTCCTACCACGACGCCCGGCCAGTCTACTGGACCTGAGACCACCATCCCGGTTCCTACCACGACGCCCGGCCAGTCTACTGGACCTGAGACCACCATCCCGGTTCCTACCACCACGCCTGCGACGACATGTACAACCGTGTTGACTGGTAGCCAGTGCACACCCGCTCCTACCATGCCTGGCGAGTCTACCGGACCTGTTCCCACGGGCCCTGCCACGATTATCACGTGTACCAGCACATTGACTGGTAGCCAGTGTCCTCCTACACCCACCACCACGCCTGGACAGTCAACCACACCTGAGACCACTGGTCCGGCTCCCACGACCACTCCTAACCAGTCTACAGGCCCGGTTCCTACCACCACGCCTGGCCAGTCTACCACTCCCGAGACCACTGGTCCAGTTCCCACTACCTCGCCTGTCACTACATGCATCACTGTCATAACTGGTAGCCAGTGCACACCTTCTGCTACCATGCCTGGCGAGTCTACCGGACCTGTCCCCACGGGCCCGGCCACATGTACAAGCACATTGACTGGTACCCAGTGCACGCCTACTCCCACAGGTCCTGTGTCCACGGTCCCCGAGTCTTCAACTCCCGCCACCACGGTTCCCGCATCATCCACTCCGGCTACCACGGTGCCAGAGACCACTGGCCCTGTTCCTACCACGTGTACAAGCGTATTTACTGGTAGCCAGTGTGTACCTTCTGCTACCATGCCTGGTGAGTCTACCGGACCTGTCCCCACGGGCCCGGCTACTTGCACAAGCACTTTTACTGGTACTCAGTGCACACCTACTCCCACAGGTCCCGTGTCCACGGTTCCCGAGTCATCGACTCCTGCTACCTCGGTTCCCGAGTCGTCAACTCCCGTTACCACGGTTCCTGCATCGTCCACTCCCGCCACCACGGTACCAGAGACAACCGGCCCTGTTCCTACCACGTGTACAAGCGTATTCACTGGCAGCCAGTGCACACCTTCTGCTACCATGCCTGGTCAGTCCAGCGGACCTGTTCCCACGGGCCCGGCCACTTGCACAAGCACCTTCACTGGTACCCAGTGTACTCCTGCTCCTACTACCACTCCTGCTACCTCTGTTCCTGAGTCGTCGACTCCCGTTACCACGGTCCCTGAGTCTTCAACTCCCGCGACTTCAGTTCCCGAGTCATCAACTCCCGTTACTACCGTCCCTGAGTCTTCAACTCCCGCTACCACGGTGCCCCAGACGACTGGCCCTGTCCCGACCACATGCACCAGCGTATTTACTGGTAGCCAGTGCACTCCCGTGCCTACTACACCTGGACAGCCAACCGGACCTAATCCCACCGGACCTGTTCCAACAGGACCGGTCACCTGCACGAGCACCTTTACTGGTAGCCAGTGCACTCCTACTCCTACTACTCCTGTTTCCACGGTTCCAGAGTCTTCCACTCCCGTCACAACTGTGCCCGAGTCCTCGACTCCTGTCACCACGGTTCCCGAGACTACAACTCCCGTCACCACGATCCCTACCATTCCCGCTACTACGGTTCCAGAGACTACTACTCCTGTCTCCACGGTCCCAGTAACCACCCCAACTACACCGGTCCCGATTACATCGACGCCAACTACACCAACCACGGGCTTCAGCACCACGACGCTCTGCACAACCACCGCCACTACGACTCCGGACTGCGAGTACCAGATTGGAGACTGGTGCGCTCCCCCGGTGCCAGACTGGCACGACAAGCTTGGCTGCATCAAGTCGGCCGCCGTGTGCAAGCTGCAGTGGGCTTCCTGCTTCAAGAAGGCCGGTCTCACCGGCGCCATCGGCTGCTTCAAGTACGTCGAGTTCTGCAAGTCCATCGAGCTCTCCTGTCTCAAGTGCGTCCTCGGCAAGTGCGACAAGAGCGACTGCAAGCCACCGACCGTGTCCGTCACCACCATCGTCACTCCTTGCGTGCCGACGGCGACCAACCCGCCGACACCACCACCCACCGTCTGCCCCCCCAAGCCGACCAACATCTGCAAGGACACTGGCTCCATCTGCGGCGTCCCGCTGCCCATTGTCAGCTGCAACGACGACAAGAGTCAGTTTGCCGCCGCGCCCTTCAAGCTTTACAACGACGCGGATACCAGCAAGTGCCCGATCTTCCCGCACCCAGAGGTTCCCAACGCTTGCGCCGAGGCCTGCAAGGAACAGTACGACCAGTGCACGAAGACCAGCCTCTGGAGCTGCCACGGATTGAAGCGCTCCGAGTCTGCCTTTGAGGATGACTTTGTCGCCCCGACCGCCAACGAGGGGCCTCACCGTCGCACGCTCGGCCTTCTTACGCAGCTCAAGTGCAAGAAGCAGTACGCTGCTTGCGTGGCCGCCAACAAGAACATCGACACGTCCAACCACTGCAATTCTTGGGAAGGATGCTACTAGAGAAGGGGTTTTTGCATATCTTGGTGATGAGGCATCATAATATTGGTTTTTCATATGGTTTATAAACACAGCCCCGAGTGGGTTGAAAGTATTCAAAAGATACATAATTGTTTCTTTTTATTTTTTTTCTTTCAAATTGTATGTAAATGTTAGTGTAGACAATTCATCAGCTTTGCGTTTTAAATTTCAGTTCCAAGAGTGTGACTTGCGTCGTGATAATTTGGATCCCGCGTCTCGTTTCTATACTTTGGAGTGTACCTCGCCTCTTTCAAATGTTACCTGAGTGTGTCTGTATTCCACAACGGGCAAAACAATCAATCTGCTGTGAAGTTACACTGTTGGATGGAGCTTGGAGTAATAAATAAATGCATGTATGTACATGGTAAATACCAAGAAAACGGCTTGTTGAGCTAAACTACTATTTCGGCAGCATGCATACACCCCGTCTCTCACTTGTGCCAGAACTGGACGTCGTTCCAGGTGATGCTCAGATCCCCCGTGCCACTGTTGGTCGCGTACGCGCCAATCTTGTCGTAGAAGCTGCCGCCTGGCGCGTTGTCGTCGCGGAACATTTCCTTGCCATTGACATAGACGCTGAAGCGGTGGTTGTTGGCATTGTGGACCGTGTTGATGCGGACCGTCGCGCCAACCTTGGCGACGCCGTCGGCGATGGTCTTGCCCCCCTCGACGTTGTATAGCCGACCGCCTTGCTCGACACCCATGATGAAGTATGGGCCGCTGTTGCCATTGAAGGTCTGCTTGATGGAAATGCGCGAGCCAGACATGGAGTTGATCTTGAACTCGCCTCCAAACTGGTGAACCCCGGAAGTGTAGTCGTCCTTGTATCTGCGCTCGGCGCGAAGGTGACCATTGGAGCATCCGGATCCGCTGGTGTCGCCATTGGGAGACTTGGGAATGGAAAAGGTGTTGCCGCTTACTCTGCCGCCCGCGCACTGCTGCTGAGAGTAGTCGGGGTGATCTTCCACCCAGTTTCCGCTCTCGACGGGGGTCCCCGCCAGTGCGAGAGAGGCAGCAGAAAGCGCAACAAGAATTGTGTTTCCAAGCATGGTGGACGGGTTTGCTGGGTGGTGATGGGAAGAGTGTCTGACATCCTGTCCATCGCTGGAGCTGAGACTCCGTTTTTATAGTTGAGATCATGCAGGCTGGGTGCTCTGTACTGAAAGGACAAGTTGATCATTGGTGGAAAAAAAGAAAAGAAGAAGAATCTGGGATGACAGTAAGCAAGCTGCATTTCACCCGGGTTCTACAAACTTTGGGGGCAATTCCAATGTAACAGTACGGAGTAGGCCGGCAAAGCTAATCTGGTCCGATCTGAGCCAATCCATTCGCCACTCCCAATTACAAGATGCCTTCTTTTTTCGTGTTACATTACAAGTCCATCCTGACAACTTGCATCTGGCACTACCGACCTGCTGTTGAGGTCTCACGCGATCACGTGATGACAAACGGCCTCGCGTGCGGATGAAAATCCATCCGCACTTTCCTCTTCCTCGTGTCTTTTTCTGAGAACAATCAAGAAACATCGGAATAGAGCATGATTTTGCAATCCTTGCCTTTACACGTAGCCTTTCCATTCCCGCAAAGCCAATCTGCGCATCATGTATGCTCCACCCTTGCCTTGACATCGGATGATGATGATGCCGACTCTTCTGATTCTTCACCGCCCGCGTGCGTGCGAGGCAGTGATTGTGCGACTCTGGGCGGATCCCAAATGCTCTTGGACCTGAAGAAGATTTCGTCAATCTCCTCCAAGGACCGGCCGCTGGTCTCGGGGAAGAAAAAGTACACACTCGGCACAATGGCCGCGTTGAGGACGGCAAACACAATGTAGTACCGGTAGCCGATGGTGTTGAACCCGATGGGCGTCACCTCGGCCAGCAAAAAGTTGAAGATCCAGACGGCGGCCGTCGACACGGCGCTGATGGCCGCCCGGAGCTGCAACGGTGCGACTTCGGTGGCGTAGAGAAAGGTCAGGCCCGCGTATCCAACGGTGAAGATGAACTGGAAGACGAAGAGGCAGACGACGGCCACGACCAGGGCCCCCGTGCTTCCCCCTGCCGACATGGTCCCCGACAAAACGGCCATGCACACGGCCATGCCCGCCGCGCTCGACAGCATGAGGACGCGCCGTCCCAGCCGGTCAATGGTGAAGAAGGCGAGGGAGCCGCCAAAGGGCTGCGTCAGGCACATGGCGGCGGCGAGAATGCGCGACTTGACCGGGCTCAGCCCGAGATACTGCTCAAAGATGGTGGTGGCGTACATGGAGATGAGGTTGATGCCGCACATTTGCTGAAACATTTGTCCCGCGGCCGCCAGCACCGTCCGGTGCAACATGCGCTGGGGCCCGTTGCTGAGCATCGCCTTCCAGGACAGCGTGCCGCAGACGGACAGGGAGAGCTCAATGTCGCGAATGTCCTGGGCGATGCGGTCGTCGTCCGGGGCCACGTCGTTGAGCGCCGCGAGGACCTGCCTCGCCTCGCCCTGCCGCCCCTGCTTGACCAGCCACCGGGGCGACTCTGGGAGGACGCAGACAAAGACCATCATGGTCAGCAAAAGCGCCGCCTGGACGCCGAGGGGGAAGCGCCAGGAGATGGAGCTCGTCTTGACAAAGTAGAAGCCAAGGTCGATCCACAGGGCCGCCGAGGCGCCGGCGCCGAGGAAGATGCCGTCCGTGACGACGTGGGCGCCGCGCCTGGCCGGCTTGGACATTTCCGACTGCCACACCGGCACCGTGGCCAGATATCCGCCGGTGCCGACGCCCAGAACCACTCTTGCGACGACCAACTGGGCCAGGCTGAACGACGAGGCCATGAGTGCGACGCCGGCCACGGTGATGGCGGAGGCTAGGAATATGACGCGTCGGCGGCCCAGCTTGTCCCCGAGGTATATGCAGGACAACGACCCGAACACGCCACCGACGGTGAAGAGGGCGACGACAGTTCCTGCCGCCGAGTGTTATTCTTGTCACGTTTGCCTTTTTTTTTTTCAGAGGGTTTGCGTGGCGCGAGAGAGGAAAAGTATACCCTGGATGGTGGCGTTGTCATGCTGCTCATTCCCCACGGTGTTGATCGTGTCTAGCTGGGGAAACGTCTTTACAAACGAGTCGAGCGTCAACAACCCGCCCGCAACACTCAGGTTGTATCCGTAGCAAAAGAATGCCGGGCAAACAACAAGCCAGATGATGGCCCGACTCAGAGAGGAGCCGCGGAGGCCGAGATGGGGAGCCATTGGGTCTTGCCGCGGCGGTTAGTATTCGCAGTTTTGATGGGGATGGGATTGCATTATATATACATTATGGCGTCACATCGTGGTAACCAAGCAGTTGGGATTCTGAATAGACATCCCCTCGCCTCCATCGTCTCTCCGCAAGACGGGCTGATCCGCCAGATTTCAAAGCCTCCGCAACTCGAGTCTCTGACAACAATCCCAGCTGTGCCGGCCCTCGGCGGGCGCCGCGTCCTGGTTCTTAGCTTCAAGGTGGACCACCAACAGGCGAAGCGTCTGAGAGCAGTCGACGACGCAAGAATGATCGACTAGCCGATTCATGTCGGGCTGTTTCCTACGGCTCTGTTGTCGCTGAGTGTTATTCGACAGCGAGTCTGTGGAGTGTGCAAGTTCCTTTCCCCACGATTGCGACGTCCCCGCAGCGTCGCATGCATTGTTGTGTTGGGGGTGACCGATGCTGCATGTGGATGGTCCAGATGTGTGTCCCCCTGGTTGCATGTTGATCGTGTTTCCTGTTCCCCCGTCTCCCCGTCCCGTCCGCCTGCGCTGAGCTGACGTAACTGTACTACCGGAACTGACAATAGAGTAGTATGAAACTCGGAGAGCTTTGTGGATGTTTGCAGGTTTCTGGATTCGCTCGGACGTTTGGTATCCGCATTTACTGCGCTCATTCCCTCTGTTGGTTGCTGGTATCAAGATGTCTGCTTCTCCAACGCCACGACGTCTCCAATGTCCGTCTCACTCGGACGTGTCTTGTTCGAAGCCAATCGGCCGGTCCCTCGTGACGCCACGGCTCGGACAGGGGCCCAACCCTGGGCAAAAATTTCCGACAGCCCCGAGATGTTGCAGGGCCCCCAAGCGCCAACAAAGTTGCTCTTTTACCACGGAGTCACCCGCCAACAAATATCGGTATTACCCTTTTGTCAAGCATGGCCCTTGATAAAGGCGTGTCCAGGTCGTCCGAGTGATGTAGCTCCAGAGACATCTCAGAAGGGACACAGCCCGGAAGAGCAGACCAACTTGACACGCAGGAGGAGGCCCGCTGCTGGGCAATTCCATCCCCTCTCTGCTGACTTGATACTATTTTGTGTGCCTCATTCTCTGTCAGACACCATTAGGCGCGGCTGGAACTCACAACGGACAGCTTACGGAGACGGCACATCACTGAACAGGACTTTCGGCCCACCACGATCTATGTGCAGGGGGTTGTAGGCAGGGCCATTGTAAACATATTTGTCATGCCGCAACCTCACTGGCTGAGCTGTCAACTATATCATGCACAATCAGCCTGCATTCGAGGCATAACACTTGTGGCGCGTCTTGCCTGGCGCGAATGGATTTCGGTAGTCCCCGATGGCCGTAGCGAAGGCGGTGGTGCTGTGTGGGCTGAGAAAGTAGGAGACGCAATGAATGGAATGTGATTGAAGAGTGTTGCTGGTTATCTTGTGTCAGCCTTGGCTGCTCTACCATCATGTTCATTACCAGGGTTCCAGGTGAGTTGGAATATATTTTGGGTTCATACAATGGAAACTTTTACTGTTTCCCGTCGCCCATTTCATGCGTGTTCGGATACTAGATGGGGTTCAGCAGCAACTCTAATCCGTGTATTTGAAAGTGAGCTGTTTGCATGTTGCCAAATCAAGCAAGCAGGTTGTATCACAGATGGATCGACGTGGCAGCTAATTCTCTGGTTTGATTAGACTATTTGAGGCAGAATTTAGAAAAGCGGAAGCCCGCTACATTTATAAACAAAC